CCTGCCAGGTCTCGTTACGACAAAATCGCGATTGACAAAGAGCAGAACCGCCGTCCCTTTCCCTCCTATTTCGCGTTCGCTTTTAGCCCTTTTGAGCCCATCGGAATGGTGCAACTCGCTCACTAACTTTTTCGTGAGATATATATATATATATAGTAGTACGGTATGATAGTCTATCCTCTCTGACGAGAAACTAGGGACATACAGGCATGTCGCGAGTCAAGAAAAAGTCGATATTTTGTTGGGTAATAGCGGCAGGCATTTTGAGCGAGAAAGTTCATAGGAACGCTACAAACAATCACACTAGATTACTCGGCCTAGAAGTAGTTTCAATGTGAAAAGATTACACGGAAAGAACAATTTTGCTGAATTCAGATCTGAAAATAACTTTTGTTCAATAATCAAAATAATTCGGTGCAAAAGTCAAAATGATTGCTAGAATATCAAAACGTTTTATAGCAATGCTTATCAGTTTTAGCATTCCAATAAATTATTTTGATGATTCAATAAAAAATTATTTTCAGATCTATATGTAGCAAAATTTGTAGATCTTTCAACAAAATTGTTCTTTCCATACAGGACTCTTAATTTAAAACAAAGTGCAAATTAAAGTACGGCTAATGAGCATCCAAATATACATTGGCAATATTAAATGTTTATATTATATGAGTATAAATACATTACGACATGAACGTTTCAAACTCTCTTTGAAGTCATCCTCAGCGTACAATTTTATAAGAATCGAATGCGGTAATTAATCCTCGTTTCTGAAAATGATAAGTCACTTGCGGTTATCAATTCCGAAGTGGAATCCTTATCGGACTCATCCATTTTCAGAAACGAGGTTTAATTATCGAATTTGATTCTTATAAAATTGTATGCTAAAACTGGCTTCAAAGAGAGTCGAAACATTCGCGTCATATTTACACTCATGTTCAATATGAACATTTAATATTATTAATATATTTGTACTAACAATCGCTTAGTATTCTCATTAGCCTTACTTTAATTTTTTTTATCTAGAGATAGTTTCTTTGCATGAAAGTTTTAACATGTGTAAAATTTCAATTCAATATATTATTCACTTGAAAGCGAAAGTTATTGTGATCCGACAGGAAAATAATGAAGATTACAGTCATATACATTAGGTATTTATATTTTCTCCTGTTACCTCTTTGATGCTATTAGTATATTATTTAATATTTATAATAGTACTTTATTTAGTATTTTTATAAAGTAAATTATTTCCTTTGAAATTGTAAATACAACTATATTACTCATTTTCTTTGATATTTTTAATTCAATCTCTAATAATAATTATTGTTAATATCTTTACTCTAATTAAGTAACTATTAAATATATATGTATAAGGAACTTTGATGCTAATAGTTTCCATTTTATATTGATAAACACTTGGATATGTTCGTAATAATTCAGAATGCGTGTTCGTATGAAACTGCTACTCGTGTGAACTCGGGGAAAGTATTCGACGATGAATTCAATGAATAATGAAGATAAGTGGAGTGTCCCCGCATATGTGCGCATACGTTAATTGGTCGACAGAGTTCCATTCACAAAGAAGAAGAAGAAGTCTCTGTACGTGTTACGCATCGCCGAGAAATGAATGAATCTTAAATAAGTTAACGAGTAGCTTCTCCCAAAGACTCTCCAAGAAAAACACTCTCATTCTTCGTTCGCATCTTATCGTTTCGAATACGCCGTTTTAAACTCCATTTTTCCTCGTATCTTCGTAATAAAAAAAAATTACCGACAGTCTCTGCCTTTCTCCAAACGTATCGTCAACAAATAGCAATCTAATCCTTATCGTTGAAGTGATTTAAAATTTTTCTTGTTTTCTGCTAAATCTGTGCCTCGCGTGTCGTTTCGTCGAGGAATCATTGAAGCCGTACGACGTACGTAAACAGTGCCAAATCGATACCACTCGTCAACCGCCAGGCAACTAGTTGCACAACCAAGTCGCAATCCTGCAACTTCCCCCGTGTTTTCACTCTCTTTCTTTTCCCGACTTAAAAATCCGTTCCGTTTAGCGTTGAACGTGGGCCGCGATCGATTGTCTTCTTTGATTCATTTTTACTTCACGAGGCACGATTGCTTGTCTTAAGGTGGTTCTTTAGTAAAGTGCCGAAAATTTGGGGTGCTTCACCAGGGCCCACCCAAAATCATAAATATTTGCATAATTTGGATGAAATATTAAAACTATGTGTATATCTAATGAAATAATATGAAACAAACGATATTTAGTATGCAAAAGTGATGAATGAAATCACTAAAAAAAATTAAACACGGCCGACAGGCCGTGTGGTGTTAAGTGATATTTTCGATTTCAACATTAAATATCTTTTTAAAATGGTCGGTGACCTATTACTTTTTTGTGATCATTAAAATTATAATTTTTTAAACTATTATAATCTCGTTTTTTTAGAAATTTCTGTCGTCTCGTTGTGCGTAGTTAGTCAAAAAAGCGTCTCCGATCCCAATCTGTTACTACGTATACGTGAAAAGTTACATTTTCAACATTTTTTCTCTTTTATTTCATCGGTAACCTAGAATTTTGCACACATCAAGTTTGGTACTTCATTATAAGTTTCAAGTTCATTATATAAAAAAATTAGACATTTCTATCGTAACTCGATTTGCTAAAGAGCCACCTTAGAAGAACTTCCATCGACATTCTTTATTTTCGTTTTTCAACGTCAAAGTATTGTTTTGCTTGACTCTCTCTTTCTACAGTACAGTTTTAATCTTCGACGCATTCCTTAACTGCTATGTTAGAGCGACGAAACGGAAACTCGGACGGCCGCATTAAATATACCGAGAACGCGAGTAGAATGCGAGCTTGAAGAGCCGCGGCATTTCTACTTCGAGCGCTGACTCAACTCGTGTAAATTTCCGGGCTATTTTCGAGCTACCGCTGCGCGCATCCTCGAAAATACCGTCATGTGCGAACGAATCGCCGCGCGTGATCCCCCGAAGAATGATTTCTGCTAACGAGTGCACGATACACGCAGCGATATCCCGACGACCGATGATTCGACGCGACGGCCATGCTGTCGGAAAGATAGAAGAGAAAATAGGTCACGGACTTTCCCGAAATAGGGTTGCTCCTCGATACAAGTCGGCCGGAGCTTTCACGTGACGGAAGCGGAGCCCGGTGTCCGCATTACGAACTTGTGAAGTCCGCTTGACGATCGAGCTTCTGTCATACGAAAATGAGAACCTCGAGAATATCTCAAATAAGAGAAATAACGTGATTAGTTGCGTAGAAGTAAAAAAAATTGGATATTAATAATTATAAATATACATTTATTAAATTATACATGTATATTACACGCACACACACAGAGGATGTACCATTTTAAACGATCACTATCACTAAAATTTTATTTTTAATTTTAGAGAAAAATATTTCAGACAAAAGTTGTACAGTCTAAAAGAAGGTAAATAATGGTAAAATTAATTTTTAAAAAATTATTTTTTAAGGTCATATGAGAGTCGTATTTTTAAAGTATAATCTGTTTATATACGATATGAGTCTTCTAATTATTCTGCATATGAAAGGACCATCAAAAAATTAATATTTTAGAGATATTTTATATCAAAAAGGATTAAAATAAAATATATCATAAATTATTGATTATTTATTGATAATTCTACTTTCATACTTTTAAACCTTAAAAAATTGTTCTTGAAAATTGATTTTATTATTATTTGTTCCCCTTTACAGACTATACAACTTTTATCCGAAACATTTTTCTCTAAAATTGAAAACATAATTTTAAAGAATGATTGTTTAAAATGGGACATTCAGTATAATTTATATATATATATATTATACTGGTAACATAATTAGCTACGTAGAAGTAAAACAATCGTGATTAAATTGCGATATATATTCATTCATTCAGTCCTACTACTCTTGTCAGAGCATAGTGACCTCTTTTCGTATTTCTGCGATGTGCGCTATTTTACACTTTTACGCAGATATACGGGACCTACAATTTAACGCTGGTTCCGAACGGCGGCCATTTTTTTAAGAAGAGGTTCTCTTGGCAAAGATATTCTCGGTGGTTTACCGTTGCCTTCCGAGAGGCGGCGATCGCTTCCGAATTGATTAAAATCAATTTCAGAGTTATATTATTCTGGATGGATTTGAACCCGGATCTTTAGCATATAAAGCTGCCGCGCTGCTCCTCGCGCCACGATCGCCACCGGTATATATACATATGTGTATATATATATCGCAAATTAATCACGATTTTTTTATTTCTACGTAGCTAATTATGTCTATTTATCGCCTCGTTTATGTTCAGTAAATGAATTCAGATTTGGCGCATCTTTTATGTGCAGTAACTGCAGACAAAGCGTTACATCTTGATTGGAATTCTAATGAGCTTTACTTCTCAGTTACTCGACAGAAGTTAATATAACTGTCTAATAACTGCCCAAAAAATGTTTGAAATTTCTACTAATTCTAAATATTTTTTATTCTAATTTTTTATTTCTACGCAACAAATTGCGTTATTACGTTTATAAATAAACTAAATCAGTTTTGAGAAAATGAAATGCATGTACAGAATGTATTTATTAAATCATATTACAATCGACAAAAGGATAATTCTTTTTTTAAAAAGCGAATAAAAAATAAACTGATTTAATTTCGCGCTTATTGGTGTGACGGAAATCAACACGCATTACTTCGTCTTTGTATCAGTTTCAAAATGTCCCGAGTAATGTTCGTTCCATCAATCTTCTGGTTTCTTACGCCAGAGACGCGAGAGCCGGATAAACACTCGATAGAGACTATTTCGTATCGACCAAAACAGAAAACTCGATGGGAAGACTTTCCTCTTGGCAAAGCCGCAACCAGCCCCGAAATAACGCGCGTTTCTTTCTCTCTTTGTGCACTTCAGAGAGAAAGGAAACGCACGAGAGAGAAGAAGAAAGAGAGAGAGAGAGAGGGAGGGGGAGGAGATTAGGAAGAGTTAGAGGAAGAACAGATCTCTCGCTATGTCGCGAACGCGCTTAAAAATAAAGTCTTACGTTGCTCTTCAAGTTCGCCCGCGCGAAGAAATCGGCCAAGTTGTTCGTCGAAGAGGCAAGACGGGGGGACGTTCCGTTCGGTCTTCTTGGGTTGAGCCCGTCGAGTTTTTATAAGCAACATACGATGGAGTGTAGCTTAAGAGTCGGCTTCGCGCTCGGTGGAGCGTGAGAGAGTGTAGGTGAGAAGGAGAGAAGATTTCTCTCTCCCTTTCGTGGAGATTGTACCGTGCTGTCAAATGTTGCTGGACGCGATCGAAAAATGACGACCACCCACGGCGGCCACGTATACTACGTGATTAAGGTGCCCAAGGATACCAACGACGGCAACGAGAGGTAATCGCACTCGACAGCTCATATACATAAGCGATATACCCTCCTAACCAACGTCCTCGATAATGCACTCTGAATTATGAACTCATTCGCGGTTTCGTTGTTGGTTGTTCGCGTTTCTGTTAGAGACCCTATAAGAAGAGACTCGTCACGTGATTGTTTAGTGAACTCTGATTGACTGAGGTTTGGATCGCACAACTGGGCTTAGATCAATCAAAATAGGATATAGTGTGACTTCATGGAGCACAATTGTGCGATTCGAACCCCAGCCAATCAGAGCCTGACGAATTGGCGAGTCTCTTCTTATAGGGTCTCTAGTTTCTGTGTTCGCATCATCTTCCGTTGGTTCCGCCGCGAAACGTCGCGTGCTTGTCGAAAGCTTCAGCTTTCATGGCTGGCTCTTATATCACCAACCTACTCTGATTATCGAGAATATGGCATGTAGCGTTAGAACGAGATGATTTTTTTATGAAAATACGTTTTAATTCATTCTTGCGAGACGTTTACAGGTTTCCTGTAGTAAAAAACACTCGTGGAACCACATGGAAAAAACTAAAGTACAAAATTTTTTTTCATTATAGAGAAACAGAGTGTCCAGCGGTCCTTGAATATCTTTGAATTCTGGGATTATTATGGAATTTAATGTGTTCTGGAAAATTTTTGGAAAACCCCTGGAATTTCAGAATTGACCTTGAATTTTTGTCATTCTTTTATTCTAAAAAAAAATTGGATTGTAAAAAAAGAAAGAAATATTTCTTGCGTGTGTGCAAGAACTATGTCAATAACATTGGTAACGTCGTTTTTTGGAAAAGTTATGGTTGTATATGTTCCCCCTTAAAGATGCAATAAGGCAAGCAATTTGTAAAGCAATAAATTAATATTCTCATTTTAATTGATTTGTCATATAGAATCCTAATTTGAATACAAAACATATAATATTACACAAATTAATGAAAATTAATTAAATAATGAAAATTAATCGACCTGGAAAACCAAGACTTTTACCTGGATTATCCTGGATTAACCTTGAATTATCTAGCCACATATCGCTGGACATCATGAGAAAGACCGATTTTGCTGAAGTATCTAAAAATTTAGCTAAATACAGACCTGAAAATAATTTTGTTGAAAATAATTAAATAATCAAAATAATTATTAAGAAATTTAATAAACTAAATAATTAGATAAACTCAAATATGATGAGCAATGGGGCAAAAAATTTAAACATTTCAGCAACCAGTTTGAGTATTCTGCATAATTATGTTGATAGTTTAATAAAGTTATTTTCAGAATTATTTTTCTATTTAATTACATTTTAGATACTTTAGCAAAACTGTTCTTTCCGTGTATGTATATATCGGTTTTTATGGGAAATTATTCAAAGATTATTGATCTAAACAGGCGACATTTTGTGTATAACAGCTCGATTTTTTCTCCGATCTTTTCTCGTCCCGTCATTTTCTTCCTCGTTCCCTTTCACTTGCTTTTTCTCCTCGTTTTTCGTGTCTCCTTCCTGTCTTCACTTCACATGTCGCTTTTTTTTCATCGCGAGAATAGCCGGCTAGATTCGATCGTCGCGCAACCGCGCTCGGGCTATGCGCCGCGTCGGTCTCAAAGAGCAAAGAGCGACGTCTCCTTCTCAGAGGTCTTCAACCCCTGACCGACTGTATAAACCTAGACGAGGGTTACACTTTATAACCAGAGATCCGCCGACGGATCACGTCGGTCACGCGTTCGGTCACGCGAAAAGTGCAGCCTATGATCAAAAGTCGATGCTACTTTTGATGCATTGTGACAAATTCAAGTGATTATTTATGAATTAAGAAACATAATAATTTATGTTAATGAGTTGTAATATACATTTAAAAAATTTGAATCAAATGGAAGTCAATCAGTAAAGAAATTTGAATTAATTATAAAGGCGGAGTCATAGATACAGTAATATTCACTGTCAAACTAAATGTACATTTTTTAATCTTTCACGGTTTGATTCGAATTTGTTTTTTTTTTTATATTTTAATAATTAATATTGAAGAACTTATGGTTACAACACAAAATATTTTAAATTAACTGTTAAATTAACTAATTAATTTGATTTGTTTATAAAAATTTCCATATTTTTAGTTATTAGTATAGAGATCATTTTCATCGAAATTTCTGTACAAACCTCCGTCTGTTCTCCCTCCCCACAATTCATAATCAGAAAATATTGAAACAAGAAGAAGTGTTACAGCATTACAGTTACCTATTCGTTACGCTATTTAGAAAATTGTTGTGAGTCAAGCAGGAAAATCGTCAATTAAAAATGAAGAATACATGTTAACGGAGGAAAAACGGCAAGGCTAAAAGAAATGCAATCGCGTCTCGAATCTCTTTGCCTTTAGCGAAGTTATCTTGGATTGATCTAATAATCTCGTAAGAACTTGCGAAAGAAAAACGGAGGTTGATTGCGATCGATCGTACCATCGGAAATCCGAGCCGGTCCTCATTTCCTATCCGTCTAGACGTTATTTCTAAACGGCCGATTGCACCTCACGACCATTTCATTGCGACGAACGTGTAGGTATGTGAAGCCGATAATTCAGGAAATAGCCGTCAAATTTCTCAAGAATATCTAATGATGTTGTTTCGCATGCAAATTTGTCGCAAATTTCCGCATTAGTGATTAGAGATCAATTTAATATATATATATATATATATATATACACTGCTCAAAAAAATTATGGCATAGAAAAATTTTGAGCAAAAATTGGTCAACTTTGGTTAACGGTAACTCCGCGAAAAATCATCGTAAAATGATGAACTTTTTTTCAAATGAAAGCTTGAAATCTCTACTTTAAGATACTGTGAGTCGATTTTTAATTTAATGCACCCCTGTTGCTGTAAACTTTTAAATCTGAGAGCATGTTTGCCACACTGAAAATTGCAAAGTTTGAACGAGTGCATGGACTTGCTAAAATTTTTCCCGGGGATGCGGTTTCCAGCGTCATAAAGTTGGAATCTTTCTTTTTAATTTGAAAAAAAAAACAAGTCGCTACGATTTTTTTTCACAAAGTTACAGCATTTTGAAGTAACCCTTGTATTTTTCTCATGTATGTTCGGCATTATCCGATGTGCACTATAGGGAGGTTGGCAATCGGATTTTGCACATTGTGTGAATGCGGGCGTATGTAAAACATACACACATACACACACGGTGTGCAAAAATCCGATCGTCAACCTACCTATAGTGCACATCGGATAATGTTGATCATATACATGAGAAAAATACAAGGGTTACTTCAAAATGCTGTAACTTTGTGAAAAAAAATTGTAGCGACTTGTTTTTTTTTTCAAATTAAAGAGAAAGATTCCAACTTTATGACGCTGGAAACCGCATCCCCGAGAAAAATTTTAGCAAGTCCGTGCATTCTGTTAAACTTTGCAATTTTTTCATGTATAATTGGCATTATCCGGTGTGCACTATAGGTAGGTTGGCGATCGGATTTTGCACACCGTGTGTGTATGTGTGTATGTTTTACACACGTCCGCACTCACACAATGTGCAAAATCCGTTTACCAACCTCCCTATAGTGCACATCGGATAATGCCAAACATACATGAGAAAAATACAAGGGTTACTTTAAAATGCTGTAACTTTGTGAAAAAAAATCGTAGCGACTGTTTTTTTTTCAAATTAAAGA